ATATCCTCTTGATATACGTTTTCTTTTCTGTCAAGTTAAGTAAACAATCGGCGGTCATTTCATTATTTCGGCGTAATGTAAAATTTATTAAAGAGCAAAGAGTTTTTTTATAAATGTGCAATTTTTTTATAAACATCGTCTAAATTATTTACACTTCAAGCATCATAGGAAAGTGCACAAATATTTCTTACACTGATTTTACTTTCATTTCTATTGTTTTCCCTCTACCTGAGAATGCACTTTATTTTTTCTCTTCTTAATCTCACTTAATAGCTGGCCAGAAAGTATCGCATTACCGACATTTGTTCCCGAGAGCAAATATTTTAAAAACATTCGAAATACAAGACCCAAAGTTAAACGATACCATAATTACACCAAACAACGTCATACGATCTGATTTCTTCTCTATTCGTGCGGAAAAATTATTTGTTTACGTACATTATTCCTTAGAATTTACGAAAAAAAAACAAGAAACAAACCCGCCCTTGCACAGTGTAGATGTTAATCTGTTTGAGGGAGAGAATGGGAAAAAATCACATCGCAGTACTATTAAATTTATGTTTTTAATATTTTAAGAGCTGTTAATTTGTTATTAGAGTTTTTTAATGGCGTTGTCAGGGAGAGACAAGAGGGGTAGATGTCCCCCCACTGGAGACTCCATTAAAGTTAAGTTAGTTGCCCTCCCCCAAGATGACCAAGATTTGAATGAATGAATGACCAAGATCATTGCCTAGTGACAAGGATATGTATACATTTTTATAACAGTTCCGTTTACCTATGAAGTGTACATGGCGTCCTCTATGTCTTGTCTCTTATATACTTTTTTATTGAATACACGAATTGCAACTAAAATATTTGAGTATCTAAAGAATTTGACGTATGAATATAAATCGTAGGAATGTTTTAAATAAAAATGATCTCGTTGATAATATTTTCGATTTAAATGAAAGGTTCGTAGATAAAGATTCTTTATAAACTAACGATAGACAAACTTTGAGTAGATACGGTCTAGATAAATCTCTATTAGCGCAGTGAGTATTGCTACACCGCGGCGGCCGCTTTGATCCGGCAATTGTTGCGCTTTGATGTTGCCGCCGTCGCTGGTTCTCGTTAAACGCGGTTTGTTAAAAATTACAGTAAACAAGTTTACCGATGAAAGCTGTAACCGCGTCTTTCCTGAAACTGAAAGTCTGAATATCAACACTGTCGGCAATCTTCGCTGTTATCTTAAAAATAGACATTTAAACTTGAATATTATGTCTAAAGTAACGAAACAGTTGCTTTACAACTATACCTAAGAGTCATAGACGTCGCCAGTAGCGACTCTACGAGGTTAGCGGGCAGCTGCTAAACTAAAAAATGTGTAATAGATACAAATCTACTTTATGTATGACTATATATACTATCTTTCCTCCCTTATAAACCCAGCCAAATCACAGCGATGCCTTTGTCTTACTCTTAGTAATTATCTAGATTATCAAAAAATTGTTACATCTAAAGTTGTTAAAGAACCAAAATGTAACAAGCATTAGTCGGTCGCAGCGGAGGTCGACTATATTCCTTGCAAGTTGAATCAATCTCAAAGGAGCACATATTTTATTTGTGTCTGTGATACACACAGTTCGTGGAGGTGAAGGCGGACGCTAAAATGTTATGAAGCAGCATCACAGGCGGCGGGGGCTGCGGGGAGGGAGCGGGGGCGGAGGGCCGCAAAGAGTTCATAACGCGCTCAAATTGTTTTATAAACAACGTACTCCCGCTCCGATTGTGTATGGTGCGCGCTATAACACCCATAAACAACAATACACGCGGGATAATTCCTAAAAACAACAGTACTATTAAAGTTTACGTAAATATAAATTTGCCTTTTCCATGAACGGTTTTTCACCATTAAAAACAAAAGTAATCTCAAATAACAAAAGTCAAAATTGTGTCAATAGTTATTAGTTGTATTTTAAGCTTATAAACCTATCTTTGATTGTCAGAAAGGTATCATGGCCACCCCAGTCCGGTTACATTAGCGTAATGAACTGGAATACAAATAGAGTCTGGCGAGCACGAGCACTCAAACCTCACAACAAAGCAGCACATCCTGTGATCTCTGCACTCACCTGCGATGTCCGGGAAATAAACCTTCAAGTGGCAAAGGAACGCCGCTCTGCGAAGACGTAAAGAATAACTGAAAAGCTTGTATCTCATCATATTATACTTACATCATCTTGCGCGCAGACTAATAAATATCATAAGATGGCAAACAGCAAGCTGAATTCGGCGAAATGACGAAGTGACCGCTGCTTCCACTTTGCTATCTTTTTCCAATAAGACGTAGGTGGGAAAGGAAAGGGGGGCTAATATTAGGCCTCTGGAAAACTTGTAAGATGCAACTCGGAATCGCTTCCATTTCATGACTGAGTTTTGTGTGAACTATTTACAAAAACTCAGTCATGAAATAGAATTTAAACGAGCAAAACATTTCAAAGTTCATTCACGTGTAAAACATCTAATTACTGTTCCACGTCTGTCTTTACAAATTAAAAACAAATATATTTATTTACAGAAGTTATCAGACTCGTTGAGTCAGCTGGCCGCAGACCAAATAACATTAGAGCGACGCGTAAATATAAAACAAAACTATTTATTATCAAACGATGTAATTATTGTGAAATTAACGACACGCCGGATTAATTCATTTTGAGAACGACAAACTTCTCGACGTGTTTTAAATTTATTTTGTAAAGAAACACGGTCAGTTCGCTAAAACTAGTTGATGTACACTGATTTTTCGAAGTCTATAGATCTAAACAATTTTGTCTGATTCAACCATGACATACTAACTATTTTCGAAAATATTATTGAAGATTCCATGCTACCTATTATTGTAACCCTATTTTTCATTACCAAAATTACCTATTCAAAACTCTTACGTGTAATTACACAAACAAATAAGAAACCTTTAATTACTAGACCTCTCCACTTTAATTTCTTTTTAATACAAACAACAAAACGGAAGGAATTTCATGACAAAGATAGACAGCTATTCATATATCTATTGTGATCATCTACAATATCTTTCGATTCAAATGACACAATTATTTCCTTTCCATAGAAGAAACTGGACAAATAGAAGGTTTAGTTTTGCGACTTTCTGAACAATTTTCCTCAATGATAATTCTGCAAACCATTCAGAGTTGACAATGTCCCAAAAACATCCGGCTCAAAGGGTTCATTCGCGAAATGTGTCCAAATAAACGTCGTATTGAATGTATTAAATATGGACAAACAGAGAAATGGTCGCATAACAACGTACACCAAACATTAGCAATTGTACCCGAAACTGCTTGTATACGATTTACTGCAGTTTTTGTAAGCAGATTAGCTGACACTGCATTGTACCCTTTCGGGATTATATCATTTTTAATATAAATACAGATTTGCAATTTAAAATGGATATGGATTTCGGACCTGATTTGGCGAAAAAGATTTTTGTAATAATAAAAGAAATTCATACTGAACATAACAATACACGGAGAGAATGTTAGGACAGTAATCTGATGTGAAAAAAGATCCAATTTTATGGGAAAATTGTAACTTATCAAAAACGCTATACTTGTACTTAAAGTAACACTGTTTAATTAATATTATCTTAAACATAACCGTAATTCTCGTTAAGCCATAGACTATTTCCGAATGATCCTTGTCAACGCCTTCCTTAAATGGTAACAAAAAAAAACAAAATAAAAAACATTTAGCGAGATAACCGTATACGTTACCATATTTAACATGAGATTAACTATAGTCGATTAGTTGGAGAACGACAGTCAGTCGCGTCGTTTCCGAACTTAGCAACATAAAACAGAACGAAACGGGTTAATCTGTCCCGTAATCCTAACATATGTATTCGTTGTTACGTTTTGACGTAGATTTACAATTATTTAGCCGGAATACTTGCCGCACGCCGGCCGCGGCTGGCTCGATAATCCGCGGATTAACGCGCCGCTTGTTTATGCTCCGACGTCGTCATTTAATTGTCTGTGGTTAGGAAAAAGCGTACGCTGAAACAAAATGTCGCACTGATTTATCGGTAGGCGCGGTCGGTGCAGCTTTTCACAATATTTCTAAACGCAAGATGTTTTCTATCGGGTGAGAGATGACGGGGCTTAGCGGATCATGTGAGTGTCGTGTTACTTGCGATGTTTTTGTTGGCAGCAAGCAGCCAGCCGTCGCTTGGCTCTGCAATAAATATTTAGATAATTGTATCGCCACAACTGAAGCGCATTTTATTTATTACAATATCCTTAATCTCAAACATATGTAACTGTTGCAAGTTTTATTTTTAAAAGTAAACAAGAGACGACAGAAATATTTTAACACGACGATGTGATGTTTTGAATATGTCTAGCTCCAAAACATGACGGTATTCACTTATGAGACAGCAAATAAGAATATGAAACATTTGATAATCTAGAAAAATAACTTTTAGGTGATAGGAAGTGTCCTAATTATAGTTCAATAAGCATTATATAGAGTACATTATTTGCAGTATATTTTTCATCGCCATCATGTTTCTACCATATTATACTATTTCACAAAATAACTCGACCTTCCCGTAGCTTCCTAACTTAGCAACATAGTGAATTTAATTTTTCCGCATGTCAAATGTTCAAACCTATTGATACCAGGATTCAGTAGCAATTTGAATCTTATAGAGTAGAACACAGAGCAATTGAATCTCACTATTATAATTAATTGAAAAGGTTTACAAATGAAATTGTTACCTAAGTTTTTGTAATTTTTATTTAAAAGTAAAAATTTGTAGTTACAAAACATTATCATCATATTTGCTTCTATAAATATAAGGATTTTATTGTTGTGCGGTTTTAAGTAAAAGTTTAGAGTTCTTAAAGAAATTAATTTGGTCTTAAATTTCTTTATTCTATGTACACCAACAATAAATGTTAAGTCTGGTTAGTGTCGCTGTTCGTTGTTACTTCAAGTTTTTTTTACCTTTACGAGATAAGGATAAATATGAACACATTTTTGTAAGCAAACTGCTCGAAACATTTATTGCGTCCAATATAACTTAAACTAGCCTCTTAAAGTTAAATTATATTTATTTATTAAATAAATTCTTACGGCGATAAATAAATAGAGAGGGCAGCGGCGACAGGCAGCCGGTCGCACGTCATACACTCGGTCGTTCACGTTCACTCGTATCACAGTCTGGGACACCGCGGCGCGGTCGGCGCGGGCGGCGCGTCTTCGGGGAGATATCGCGGGAATACCTTCGAAACGGGCCGTCACACTGCTTCTATCAACTATGCTTCAGAATGTGGGGATCAGGCTCGCGAGGGTCGTGGGGCTCATGCGGAGCGTGGGGCGCGTGTGGTGGGCTGTGCGGCGGCGCTAGGCCGTGCAGTCGCCGGTACAGCTGGTGGTAGGCGGCGGGTGGCGGCGGCAGGCGCAGCAACGGCGCCGGCAGCGCGTAGCGCCCGTACACCGACAGCAGCGGCGGGTACAGCCCCACCAGCGAGGCGTACGGGTTGCCGAACATCGGGTGCAGGATAGCGCCGCGTTTGAACGCCGCAAGACGCGACCGCGAGGCGGCCGTGCTGCGCCGGCGCAGCTTACCCGTCGTACCTCCGATGAACACGTCGTCCGAGGAGGGGTCCAGCATCCAGTAATTACCTTTGCCGGGGTCGTCGTAGTGCCGCGGCACCTTCACGAAGCACTTGTTCAGACTCAAGTTGTGTCTGATGGAGTTCTGCCAGCCCTGCTTATTTTCTTTGTAATAGGGAAAATTCTTCATGATGTACTCGTAGATACCGTTGAGCGTGAGTCTCTTCTCGGGGCTGCTGCGGATGGCCATCATGATGAGGGCGTTGTAGCTGTAGGCGGGTTTTTCGCTCTTAGTCCGGTCGGGAGTGCTGGTGCCGGCGGAGGCACCGGGCGGCGGCGTCCCGGTGCCGGTGACGTCGAGTTCGGTGTCGGAGGGCAGGGGAGAGACGGGCGGCGAGGGTGAGGGTGGCGAGGGTGCGGGGGAGGACGCCTCGGGCAACAAGTCGCGGATGGCGAAGCTGTGCGGCGGCGTCATAGTGCGGCATCGCGAGCCGCGCGCTGCGAACTGAGTGCGCCGCGCGACGCACAGGCTCCGCCTTCAGTCGCCGCCCAGCGCCGTGACCCCTCCTCGCGCCGCTGCCTCCGCGTATCCCTCGAGAGACGCAGCGGTACGACCGGTATAGACCTTAGTCCCTGGTCATAGAGATCATTGTGCAACAGCCGAACGCTATATGAATTCGCGTGTCGGTTTGCTCGCCTTTTTTCGTCGACCGGTTGGGGCTGCGCGATAAAAAGTGAACTAGTGCGCAAGGCGACGTGTTTTGTATCGAGGCTGTAAACATTTTTAGCGGATTCTCCGCGCGTTGTTTAATGTAATTTATTAAGTGTGGGTCGTTACGATATAATAAACGTCCCAACAATTATGAAGTCATGTTAATTTTGTTTTTAAAATAGTCTACAGATGTGGGGCTAATAAATTACTCACGAACATAGCATTAACTGTTTTATTTATCTGTAAACAAAATAATTGCACGTCGTAATGTAAAATATATGAAACGCTCCCAGCAATACCACCTCCACGACCACACAGAAGACAGGCGTGAAGTGGAAGCAATTCCGCGTTTCGTCTGATGAGTGTGGTGCCGGAGACCTAATTTTAGTCCCTTCCCCTTTCCACCCTTTTCTTAAGAGGAAAGGATGGGGAGGAAAAGTGGATTTGACAGTGGAGGAGACGCATAGGAAGGGGAAATGTCCCCTTAATTCACGTCATGTCAATGAAGGGTAGGCAACGCATCTGCAATTGCGGATGTTTATGGGCAGCGGTCGCTCTCCATTTCGGTGGATTCAGGTGGCCGCTTGCTCGTTTGCCACCTTATGTTATAAAAAAAAAAATATAAAGATTTTAAAACGCTATTTGACAATTGTAGAAAAAGATGCTAAAGTACAGAATTAACCATTACATCTATTACAAGAAGTTAAGGAATAGCAATTTAGAGCTTTATTTTCATTTAAGAAAATCCTTTAAAATCATATCTCTGATAAATACCTATCTGTATTCAAAATAATCAACTTATATCTACGTATTACTACAAAGAAAATACTGTATTCGAAACGCATACACCATAAACTTCTGTAGTGTGATAAATCGCACATTTCCCAGTAACATGTCCAAGGTTTGCAAACTGTTAATCCAAGACGTGTTCCGTTCAAAGTTTACGTTTTACGTCAAATAGTAAAGCCCCCCTCGCCCCGCGGCAAGCCCCGCCCACGCGCAGACACGCCCACCTGCACTGCCTATATTACAAAGTTATTTTTACAATATGAAAGATCGTTTTATAATACTAGTCTATACTTATATTATAAAGAGGAAAGATTTGTATTTTTGCTATTGAAATAACTTGAAAAATCCTAGGCCATTTTTTAAAATTCTTTTATCGTTAAAAGGTTTATCTGCGAGTAACAGGCTATTTTTTTTTAATTCGACGAGGACGAAGTCGCAAGCAACAGCTAGTTAGTTATAAAGCTTTTATACTTATAATTGAATATTTACCTTACAGTTTTTATATTTATTTTTAATTGAGAAAGGAACAATATGCTTCCTAATAATGTTATTTTATGTTTAATATGGATGTTATTATAGACGCAGAAATCTAGACTTTTAGATTACTTTTATGTTGAAATAAGAGAAGGTTCTACGCCGTTAAAAAGTTAAAAAGTAAAAGGTTCTGGATTTTACCTCTAACTGAAGATGGGAATATTTTACGATGGTTTGTTTCAGAGAAAACAATACAAATAAAACCACGTTAGTACTGCTATCTATACTAATATTATGAAGAGGAAAGATTTGCATTTTTGTATATATTGAAATAACTCAAAAACTACTGGACCGATTTCAAAAATTCTTGCACTATTAAGCTATGTTATCACTGAGTAATATAAGCTATATTTTTATTTCGTCGCAATCAGTGTTTCTGAACATCTGATAACTGCTGTAGGTCTACGAGTAAAAATTTTCAACGTAATACTCTCAAGTCTTTGATGTAGCCGGCCGCTTAATATTGCCGTAAAATTAGATAAGCGATTATAAACTTTTTTAGTATTAACCTTTTTAAACACAATAAAATAGTAATAAAACTTAACGATAATATAATGCTAAGTAATAATTAATAAAACCAATAAAACTTTATAAATAACGTAAGTTATATGTGACTTATGTATTCTATCAACAACACTAGCCGCTGATATCAAAGCATTATGCAAAAGACAAGTTCTGAAGCGTTCACTAAATATTAGACTAATATGCGGCAATAAAATTATAAAAAACTTTACATCTATCAATTATTAGTATTTTCAGCAAAAAGATTAAGGGAAAAAACGCGAAAATGTATGGCAGAGGCGGTTGGGACGTCTCTCTGACTTATACCGTCCAGAAATACTTTAGAAGACTGTATAAGAGCACCAAGAACCGACCTGCTTGAATACTTAGAGAGATAAGTCAGGACCTTTCCAAATAGAGGTCAGCGGTCTCGATGCTGTCTACACCTCTGTGTTACGGGCATGAGTTGTAATTTCAACATTATTCCCGACATTTAAAGCTCTTGAGGTAGACAGGACTCCGAATATCGGGCAAGATTAGTTGGTTTTAACTACTACAGTGGAACTGAGATATACGAAATGAGATTACTTATACAGACACGAAGCAAAGATATTGATTGCAGTTCTACGAGAACTAACCTTCAGCCGATATCATTTTCGATTTAACTTAACTCGATTGGTAACTTTACCCGTGTGTCTAATTTCCCATTATGTCAGCTGAATTTCGCCACAAGCCGCCCTGTCTCTCTCCGCCCGCCCAATTACAGAGCTTAAAAATGACATGTCAAGAGGCCGCGAGAGGCATGTGGAGGTGCGGAGGTACGAGGAGTCGGAGGTATGGAGGTGCGGGGGCACGAGGACCCGGAGGTGTGGAGGTGCGGAGATGTGGAGAGGCACGCGCCTGCACAGCGATAGTGTCGCCACCGCGCGACGTGTTTCCGACACGATTGAGGCAATCACTGCCACGGCAACTAGTGACACCAATAACATGATAGTTTACAGGACATTTTTACGCTTTAATAATAAGTAGTCATGGTAGTAAATTTTATCATTTTTACAACACACAGAGACACAGAGTACATGAATTATGTTTTATCACTTAAAAAATGTTGTAGCTATTACATTTATTGCATTATCTGTAATGTAATAGTTCGAGAAGAGACTTTTCGTCCTTCTTTCCACTAGCATACTATATATTTGTAAGTTTAATAGCATGTCTAGCACTATACAGGAGGAACATACGACCTACCTTTAGCAGTATCGAATGTTAGAGTGAACTAAACCTCTTATCTAGGATTATCCTGTATAATGTAACATGATGCGCACCCTACTTAGCGCAGCGTCCGTGCCCGCAGGCATGTTTAGCGCGCGCAGACAAATATTTAACAACCGCCGCTTGTCCGGCCGTCGCCGCTGCCACTGCCATTGCCGCTGTCTGAATATTGTACTTTAAATACAATATACAATACAATAAAATAAATATACAATTCCTCTGTCCGATGCGCCGTTACTGTCAACATTTATTAATGTTTTTAACTAGCTGTTGCTCGCGACTTCATCTTCAGTAATGAAACTTTCTAATGGTGAATTTTAGTAATTTGCTCTTTACAGTATTTGTATAGAAGAGTCAAACGTAACAGTAACATGCGCTGGGTTCTGATATTAAATTGTTGGTAGCTGATTTTATTGAAAGAAATTTTATTCAACATTTTTTTAATGGGATGACAAAATGACAAAAGTAAGGAAACTCGGTCAAAAAAACAAAATTAACTCACGTTAAACCAATTAGCGGATATAAAAATTAAAATTCACTTTATCGTTAAAGTTATTTTATTTTTTATTTTATAACAAATCCTGTATTATAACGATACAAAAAAACAGTAAGCCAAGGCAGTTGTTACGTTGCGTTCGTGTTATTCTTGTTGCTCAGTAAATAAAGAGTAAATAAATAAATAGGATGAGGGCGCGTGTTTCTCGCAGATTGGAGCAATTATGAAGCAACGCAGCGACACGGGCGACGCGGCGCGGCGCGGCGGCGAACAAATGGCGCGAAACATTGTTTCCTCTTGTTGGCCGTTTCGTTTGTTTTTGACGGCGCTTTCATTACTTAGACATACTTTATTATAACTACAAAATATATAATTAAGTTTATGCAATTTCTATAATTCTTTTACTTTGATCAATCTCAATAAGATTACAAAAATCAGATGATCTTTATAACCTGTCGAGTGTAACGAATATTTTCGAAAGTCAATATGGCGGTTCGTTAGTTCTTTATCAGATTAAAATTAATGCGCGTCCGCACAAATAAGCCGTAACATCAGCTGATAGCGGAATTTACAGTTCCGATACTCAATAAAGTGTAGCCATCAACTCTCAGCAGAACTCGCTTCGAATCTCAAACCTGCACATTAATGATTTCATTCAATTAAATTTCAAAATAATTATTATTTACAAAGTTGTTTTTTAACAATTATCTTTTTAATTCAACCTTAAAGAACTTAATTATTATCTTAATGCTGAAGACCAAAACGGTTTTATTTTATTACCTTACAAAATGATAACAGTATCGAAATTACATATTTTGCTTTATAAAATCAAAGGCAAATCTTATTAAATTAAGGAATATTATAATTTCATGCTTATTTAACCGAATTTTGAGACTTCTGAATATTTGTACGAGTTGAAAGAATCGCAGATGAAAAACTGTCGGATCCACTAGTCTTATTTGTTGAATTAATCACGGCACACATTTAAAAACATCACTAATACATAGTGTTGTAGATAAAAAATAATATTTGTTTTTATGGTACGGTTTTGGCATTATTAGCAGGCTCGAGGTTTATGTTAGCACTACATTATTTTGACTATCTCTAACAGTATAGTATGCTGGATTAAGCTAGTTTAATCAAAAGTGGATCTTAGTTAGTGAAATATTATCAGAGGTCCATTACGACT